GACACTTGGGCTTTGTAGGCCCCACCAGTGCCACATCATATCCCCTTTGGGCTTCTTCTCTCTACGCGAAGTTGCTAGACTTCTCGCCTCCGACTAGAGAATTGAGTTTCAATAATTACTGCCTCCAAATTTCCATTTTGTTAGTTTGTTATAATATGTTGATTGAAGGTAGTGAAAGAGATAAGAAGATTTTTCAATCGATTACTCAATTTATTTTAAAATGATTGTTAGTTTATTATTATTATTAGTTTTATTATTATTATTATTATTATTTCAAACTTATTTTAAATTAATTATTATTTTTTAAAAATAAATAAATATTATTTTTAAAATTTAACTATATTATTATTTATTTATTTTAATTTATTTATTTATTACAAAAGATTTGACTTTATTTTTTCATTTTAATTATTTTCAGACAAGAAATATGAAAGATTCGCTATTTATGTTTCCTAAACTAAATATGGTATTATTAATGACTAAAACTTTTAATTTAAATTAAGTATAAAATTCTTAACTAATTAAAATAATATTTTTAAAGAGCATTTTATAAGTTTTTTTGGCCCACATTCTTTCTATTTTTCTCGTTGAGCTTATATATATATACATGATGGAATTTTTGAGCTTATATTCAAAAGAATAATAGACAAAACAAGACAAAACAAATGAACTCCACGTCATAATTTGGTAGAGTAATAATGGAGGGAACGAAAACAGAAGACGAAATGAGGAACAACAGGTGATGCAAGATTCATGCGTGTGGTGTGTAATTATTAATTTAACCCCTTTGCATGACTTATTGTCCCTCATTTCATCCCCCGTTTTTGTTCGCTCTATCATTACTCAATTTGATAATGTAAAGTAAAACTTCTAAAATTTGAATAAAGAGTACGAAGTCGTTTCGAAAATTTTGATTGCATGCATAAATAATACTATAAATGGAATTTTTAATTAAGAACAGAGAAAGTCTAATAACAAAAGAGGGAATAAGATCCCGAATTTGCAAAGGATGGATTCGGTTACTTTAGTCCCCTCTCTTCCCCACAAAATGCAAA